TAATAATAATAATAATAATAATAATAATAATAATAATAATAATAATAATAATAATAATAATAATAATAATAATAATAATAATAATAATAATAATAATAATAATAATAATAATAATAATAATAATAATAATAATAATAATAATAATAATAATAATAATAATAACAATAATAATAATAATAATAATAATAATAATAATAATAATAATAATAAATGATATGGTAGAGTAAGCTAACTAGATGATAATGATAAGTGATATTATAGGAAAGATAATATTAGCCATATATTATGATATAATGTGATATATGATATGATATAGCTAATATAAACAAGCCAGCGAAAGCAAAAAGTGATGTATATTAAAGTCTTTTGGTGGATAGAATCGTATAGATTTTTGCTTTCCAACTCTTAATTTTGTTGCTATTCCACTAACATCAACAACAGACTTTCCGTTTCCGCTCTCAGCTTTGAAATTGTGCCTGATATGTAAGACTGACTACGCCTAGCAAGACATTGATTGCTTTTTTTCCCCCTTATGACCTAATACAGCTTGGTGGACAGCAGGTGTGTGTGTGCAGATGTGTGTGTGTAGGTGTATGTGTAGGTGTATGTGCAGGTGTGTGTAGGTGTATGTGCAGGTGTATATACACGTGTATACACGTGTATATAAATATTCGCAAATGATTGTCATCCATAAATAGGCCTATAATCGGAATGACTGTCATGTTCATAAATAAATCTGTTATCCGGAATAGTCATTGTGTTCATAAACAGGCTTATTATCCGGAATGGTTATTTCCACTCGTAAATAAATTTATATCACCCAAAGTGATTATCATACTTATTAACTGGCCTATCATCCGGAATAATTATTGCGCTCATAAACAGGCCTATCAACCGGATTGTTTGTCTGGCTTATAAATAGAATGGTTGTTAAATGATCATTGGGAATGATTGCTGGATTTATTAGCAGGCCTATCCGCAGCCATTCAGCGACATTATATTGGTATGAAAAGTAAGCCAATCTCTCTTTCTTTCTTTTTTTTTCTCTCTCTTTCTCTTAACACACAAATATATATCAATAAAAAATAGTTTGCAAATATTTTGGAAAATATCCTGTCATTTAATGATTAGGAATTGCTTTTAAGAATGCCTAGGAGAGTGAAAAGAAGAGGAAGAAGGAAATGTTAACAATTCATGAATAATGAAAAATGAAATTTCCTAAAGCCACTTAGTATGTTTCTTAAAAGAGAGAAAGGAAATGAGAGGAAAAAAAAGTGCAAATATTAGAAAATTTATTAAAATAAATTATTTTTTCCCATATTGCTTGCTTTGAAATTAATTTTTATCTCTTCTTTCATTCATTCATTCTTTCACTTTTTTTGAAAGATAAAATTTTAGGAAAATAATTATGACCAGTAGTGACCAGTTCGTTTTTTTTTTTTTTGTTAATATAAAATTAAACTTTGTTAATTTAAAAAAAAAACAAGATAATATTGATGTCCATTTCTAATGCTTACTATTAGCTATTTGATTTTGTGGTAACATCAACTTGATAGATGATACTCTTGCTCTGTTATAAATGATGAAAATGACTGGAAGAAATAAAGGTAAGAGACAAATGTCAACCTTCTTCCTGTCGTTCATTTTCGGGATTCATAGAGATAAGCTAAAAAGGGTATGAACAAATGACATCATTGGAAGGTAGCCTAATCAATATCAGAAAAGTGCATGCTAATAATTCTTCTGTCTCAATTGGTTTTCCTAAAGTTAGTGCTTCTATAAATTAAAATAAATAGGCAAAAATGGAAGTTAACAGATGGAAGCTTCTAGTTAGCTTTATCCGGGAAAAAATTTTGAAATTCTCAATAAAATTTATGATAAAATGGAAGGAGTTATGAATGAATGCATTCAAAATATTAGCTATAGTAGAAGTAATAAGCAAGAAATAAATACTTTTAATGTAAGCAACGCATATACTTCAATTTTTCGAGTGTGATTAAGAAGAGTGCTTGCAATTAAGAGAATTTGTTTTGATATATGAAGAGAATTTTAAAAGCTTGATTGAATTCAATGAAAATGAGTGCGACAAATGCGACAGGAAAAGAGTGAACTTCCGCTATCACAAACAAAACTTTTGTTACTGTAAATAATATTGTTGTTGTTGTTCTTTTTTTTTTGCAAGGATATTTTTTTAAAAAAAAGCACTTTAATTTGGCTAACAGAAATACAATAAAATAAAGAATAAACAAAAAATTTCTAAAAATATCTTTTTAATTAATTTGTAAACTAATCAATTTCTTTTAAAGTAAATGATACAAATGACATTTCATATGGAAACCATTCCATTCTCCGTCATTTTAGGATAAACAAAAAAAAAAAGCATAAATAAAATGATTGAAAGCTTTTCAAGTTTAACACAAAAAGATTCCGCCATTCCCAGCTATATTTACAACTAATGATGATGATATGAAATCGATTGATTTGATTGGATGTATTTTATGAGAGTATTATGAAAACTTTTGGCCTATTTATTATCAGTCTACCTACCTTTAATTACTTAACAAACTCTTTCAGTCTAAGCTTATGATCCTAAATAAGTTTAATCTTATTTTAGTATCAGTTTTATAATAGGAATATTTACTTAATATACGTTTTATTTGTACATTTCAAATTATCTAAAAGATAAAACAGCTAAGAGTTACAAGCTTGAAACGTGCAAGTGAAGTGAAACAACTTAAGTTTCATTAGCTAAAAAAAAAATGCAAATTTTGGTGTGCCTTTTATCGATTACGGAAGTAAATTGTCTGTTAGTGAATTGCAAATTGAGAAATTTGAAATGCTCATGGAGTATTGATAGAGGACGGATAGATAGATGTATAGATAAATGTCGCATCAAATGAAAATCGAATGTATGAAGCAATTTTGATGAGGTTTTTTGAAATAACTTTAATTAAAGTGCTATGATAGATTAACTTATTGGTTCAAATAAATGATGAATATTCATATTTGCTTAAATTATTTGGTAAAAAGAAAAAAACGAAGAACGAAAACGTTTCTTGTATTTTTTTTTTTTTTCAAATGCTTATTTTCTAGATTGCTTTTACTAAAATAAAATCCCAAAATGAATGTAAATAAAATAATCCCAAATAAATATTTATAACTTTTAACTCTACAATGATATTCAAGAGATAAAAAGTAGGAATGAAATGATATATAGAAAATGCTAAAAGGATATTCCAGAAATTTTCTCTAAATGAACTTGTAAAATGAAATTTTACAAAGAGGTTTGGAAAAGAGTTAATTTATTAACTTCCGAAAAGATTTCCTAATTTTTAACTCGCTTTTACGCTAATAATTATCCAATTGCTTACCATACAACTATTTTAAAATGACCACAAGACTATCTCTGTAAAAATGTCAATCAGATTTGTCTGTCCAATTTTAATAGAATAAAAAAAGAATGAGAAAGAAACCAACAAAGCATCTTTTTTTTTTTTTTTGATTCCTATCCAATTTGATCATTCGATCAAATTTGAGCCAAATTATAATTGAATGGTGAAATCTTAGCCATTGGTGATAAGCATTCATCATTCCATCATTATACACAAATCATTGGATTTTTTTTTTAGCTCACTGATTTCTCACCTTCTCTCTAATTACTTAGCTATCTAATGAACATATGACACTGTTTTGATCTTTAAACTTAAGCTATCCACACGATACATTTAACGATAAATATCTTTTCCTCAGAATGTCGCTTATCACGACAGGTTTTAATATCATCTTCCTGTATAGGATTGAATTAGTTAAATCCTTAAGAGGAAATTGCTTTTAGCTGTCACCAATAATATACTTCGTTTTTACTGCAATAAACCATTTCATATAACATATGACGTTAAAAAAAATGAAGAACATTAGTACCTCCAACCTAAAATTTAATCAAATTGATGATAAACGAAACATGTGCACATCTACCTGTTTCACAAATTAATAATGCTAGTCCACAATTTTATCTTATCACATCAATGGTTGCATCATTTCGTTTGATTAATGATAACTTAATGTTTACTTAAATAGTTGTGTGAATTGTTTGTTGAATAAATAATTGCCGGAAGAAGCATTGCTTCATTAATTGCACTGAATGGAATTGAAAATCAGAAAAAAAACCGAAAAAATAGCGGATTAAAAAATCAGGAAAACTGCAAAGTCCTTTTCCGAAGGCTAGTAAATCGGAAATGTAACATTACTATAAGGGTCTTTACATTATGAGCCTTTCAAGACAAATATTCCTCCTTCCTTCTTTCCAAAAAAGTCAAAAACCTTGAAAGCTTTTTTTTTAATTCATTGAAATTTTTCCACTTCTTGTTAATTTCTGCTAACCAAAAAGAAAAAAGTTTATTCATTACTATAGCCTAACTTCCCGACCTCTCGGGAATCATTTTCTTTCAAAAGTTGCT